TTATTATTGTTCTGATATTAATTACAATGAAACTTAGAAAATGACGTAGAGTATCTTATGGTGGAACCTCTTATGATAGGTTATATATTATAAAGTTAAACTTAAATGCAATAGTTTTTTAAAGCGATAGATAGGGTGTAGATAACACTAGAATGGATAAAGTAGTTTTTGCAAAATTTTGTCATTTGCTTCAAACAGAATGGGGATTATAGGCATTTAGACATATGTCAATAAAAGAACTGGTTATTGGCTTCCTTCACATCATTGCCTATGATACAAAAAATAAGATTATGAAGTATTAAGTAGCTAGATCTAGAAAGACAATTAGTAGATGATTTCATGCTATATTGAATTCTATTTTAAGACTGTATACCCTATTATTTAAAAAACCAAAATGATACTGAAGAATTCAATAGATAATAAATGAAAATGATTCAAAAGTTGTTTATGTGCCTTCAATGGGACATAATCAAGGTCAAGGTAAACGCAGTTGATAGGCGTAGATACAAGACATACATTAAGTTATTTTTTAAAATAACATATTATAACTTTTATTTATTCGTTACACAGTAATTGATCATTGTAATATTTTTAACATTATCAATTATTACGTTTATTTAAAAAACAACACAATAATTGTTCATTATTATTTTTTTTAAAAAAATCTATTACTGTGTTTTTTTATATAAATGCAGTAATTGATACAATTTAAAGTTTTTAAAAATTAAATATTGCTTTTCTTTTAAAGATAAAGGTGGTAATTGATTACTATTTCATTTTTTTATAATTGGCCCTCGAATACTGCATTATTTGTTGATTTTTTAAACAAAATATTATATTTGTTATGTTGTCAAAGATATTATGATAAAAATACATAATTTAATAAACTTAAATTCAAACATAAGAATTTAAAAACAAATTGCCATGAAAATCACATTTTCTTGTAGAAATCACATTTTTTTAATATTATATTTTCTCCTAAAATCTAATATTTTTCAAACCAACCTCTCTTAAATATAAAATCCTTACTCGACTATTCCTCCCTCACTCTCTCTCAAACTCTTACACCTCTTTTTCTCCATAAAATCTAAAACCCATTTTCTCTTTTTTCAGATTTTTTCCCTTACGCTTCTTTTGCTACCACTCGAGCTCCATTTTTTCACCATACTAAAGGCACTTACATCTTCTCTAACCTCTTACAATCATGCTAAAAGCCACCAATGATGCTCGAATCCACCACACGATGGTCAATCCAAGTAATCTTTCATCATTTCCCTTATTCTTTTGCCAAGCAGCCCAAGCTGAAGCCAAGTGTGTGCTTCACCACTTTCCCTCACTCGAAATCTAACGTGTTACTAGTCATTAGTGTTCGAATTTATCTTGAATCTCATAATCCCACATTGAAAGTTAAGTGAAGTTATAAGAATTTAAATTTGTCTTGTATCCCATATTAGGAGTTTAGTATAGGTATAAAGGGTTTCACCCTTATAAATAAGATATTTTAGTTTTCGTTTGGTAATTCTAGATAGTTAGACACCAAAAAAATAGCTAAGTGGGTAGGTTATTAAAATGGTATAATTAGGTTTTGGGTTAAGTTTTGAGTAATGAGTTTTTTGTGACTTTTCTTATTTCAAAAGTCTCATAGTTGTAAAGATTTATTTGTTAGTGGATTAAGTTTGGAATAGGTCATTTTGAGTTGAACCGAAACAAATATATTTGTGTATTTTTATTCTTGATTTGAGATTGCTATTTTGTGTGTGGATTTTGCATATGTGTATTGATTTCTTAACAAGTGGTATCAAAGCTGAAGGTTCAAGATGTAGGAAGAGTTAGGAGTTTAAGGTTCGTGGGAAGAAGAGATAGGCCTAAAAGATCATGAAACAAGTATATCAAGATATTTGAAGAGGTATGTCTAGTATGCCTATGCCTAAGTTTGAGATTACATTATTTGATGAAAATAGCAATTTTATGTTATGGCAAAATATGATTCAAGATCTGTTAGTACAACAAGAGTTGGATCAGGCATTAGAAAGTAGTAAGCTTGAGGGAATGTCTAACAGTAATTGAAATAGAATTCAGAAGAAAGTTGTTAGTATTATTAGATTGGCATTAGCCCCAGAGGTAAAATATAGTGTGTTGATTAAAAGTATTTCGAAGAGTTTGTGGAATAAACTTAAAGGAATTTATGCATCAAAATTATTGATTAATAGATTATGTTTAAAGATGGATCTGTATTATCTAAAGATGAAAGAAGGTATGAGTTTTCATAATCATCTGAATGAGTTTAATAGATTGGTTTCTTAATTGCTAGCGATTTTTGTTGATGAGTTAGAAGATGAAAAGAAGGCTTTAATTTTGCTGTCATCTTTGCCCAAGTCTTATAGACCTTTAGTTTAGACTTTGTTGATGGGTAAGTCTACTTTAAAGTTGGATGATGTGACTATCCTATTGTAAGAGAATGAAAAGTTTATGGGAACACAAAACTCATTACCTGGAAGGAGTACCTTAGTTGTAGAGAGTTTTGATTGATTGAGGACTCAAAAAAGGATTGATGGATCAAAAGAGAGACCCGAGTCAAGAGACAAAAATAACAGTGATAGAATGTTATTATTATGGTGAAAAAAACATATCCAAGTGCACTACAAGAAACTAAGAAGAGATATAACTACTTTCAAAAGGGTGAATGATGAGAAGAAATTGAATGAAGAAAAGAGTGATACTACTGCTATTGTGTCTAATGATGATGATGTCATTTTGATGACTTGTGTATATGAGACTCAACTTTGAAAAGTGATAAAGGTTGGGTTTTGGATTCAGTTGCTACAGTCCATGTATGCAATGATAGGAGTTGCTTTGTGGAGTTGGAAAAGAATGAAAAGTATGGGGATATTGTGGTTCCCAATAACAAAAAGTGCAGATTCAAGGCATTGGGAATATTCACCTTAGATCTCACAATGATGTTGTTAGGATGCTTCATCATGTAAGGTATGTACCAAGTTGCAGCTAGAATTTGATTGCTTTAGGTGAGTTAGCTTCTTGTAAGTACACATATTATGGTAGTAATGGTTGGTTGAAAGTGTACAAGAATGGTAGTGTGATTCTACAAAAGAATAGAATAAAAATCATTTGTTCATGCTTGATGGAGGCTCAGTTGTTAAGATTCCTATGGTGAAGGAAAAGAAAAAGGGCAAGCATATCAATATTGCAGATACTGTTGAAGTATTTGGAGATTTAAGTCAATGAAGGATCTGCTAGGATTTGCCTTGAATCTCATAATCACATATTGAAAGTTAAGTAAAGTTATAGGAGTTTGAATTTGTCTTGTATCCCACATTGAGAGTTTAATAAAGCTATAAAGGGTTTCACCCTTATAAATAATATGTTTTGGTTTTGATTTGGTAATTTCAAATATTTAAACACCAAAAGAAAATATAAGTGAATGGGCTATAAAAAGGGTGTAATTGAGTTTTGGGTTAAGTTTTGAGTAAAAAGTTTTTGGTGATTTTTTTTATTCTAAAAATCTCATAATTGTAAAGATTTATTTATTAGTGAATTAAATTTGGAGTAAGTTATTTTGAGTTAGACCGAAACAAATATAATTGTGTATTTTTATTCTTAATTTGAGCTAATTATTTTGTGTGTGAATTATGCATGTGCGTGTTGATTTCCCAACGATTAGCTTAGCTAGCTGTTTGATCCATTAGCTTAGCTACACAGAAAAGATGTTGGATGAGTTTTTTGCTCATTCCAGTTCAGCTAATCAATTAGCATTGCTTGTATTTGTACCTGATATAAAATATGTTTTTATTTTTTTATGAAAATAGGATTCAGCATATATGTGTTCAATGTTTCAATAAACAACGATTATAGATTCAAATTAAGATTTGAAGCATGTTTGGCTATTTCTTAGTAAAAAATAATTAAAAAAAAATTGTTAACTAAACTGGATGCATAATAATTTTCATTATTTATTTATTATTTATTTTTTTACAATTTGATTACAAATCAAAAAGACTTACTAAACCCACCGTTTTAAGTTGGTTTGGTTTATGTCCATTTTTTATCTTTTAATCAGTTGGTTTGATTTTTTATAAATTAAGTCAATTAAATCAATTATTAATTTTTATAGTCGAATTAAACGAGCCGATCGCTTGCTCCTCCAATCCAAAAGTGAAAGAAAATTCACGGGCGAAGACCAGATAACAGTTTTACCACGAGTCGATAGTTAGATGCATTCTGCGAGTGTTAGTGGCTACATGGACTCAATTTTGTGTAAATGCGTCTTTTGGGGAAGGCAAAGTGGCATGTACGTAATTCTATGAAGCTCTGGACTCGTTCTTTCTGGGAGAGAGAAATCCAAATGAATGTGAATGTGAATGTGAATGCGAATGCGTAATGTGAAAGCCTCTTTAATTCATTCAATATCAAATCTTCCAAATGATGATGGAATTAGTCAACGAAATTGTCTCCTATCTTGTTTGGAGCGGCATATCTAGCGTATAATATGGTGGGTTTACGATTATCCTTTATTATCAGCTGTACTGTACTGTTTCAATTTTTTTCCTGTCTCGTCCTTTTCTGCTGGAAACATCTTGGTTTGTGATATTTCATATTTTCGGCCATTTAAATTATCCCTAAGATCACTGTTAGCCATTGTCCAACATATGCAGATTTAGTAATAAGAATCAGAAACGGATACTTACCCTTTCTGGGCATGGATTCTTTCCTGAACCAAAAAAAAATTTTATAATAGAATTCGAATTTTTGGTTTTGGTAAAATTGATTACCTCAGACTCGGAGTTCAATTTTATAGGGGCAGTGCAAGGTCTATCAGAGTTTATTTTATAAGGTCAGGGCACCTGACCATTCTTATATCTTTATTGTATTTATTTCATGTTAAATATATGTAAATAACAAAATCATTATATTATAATTTATATCAATTTTTATTAAATTTATATATAATTTTTGTTCAAATTTTAAATCATAATATTTTTGTGTTTTTTTTTTTTTTTCATATCATGTTAACTGTAGTGAATATGGTTGTGTACCATGACAAGCCAACAAAAGGTATTATGTCGAGGATCACTGAGTTTCTATTTGCAGAATGAAGCCAAATCATTCCCAGAACCACCGTCAGGTACCAACTCGGACAGATCACCGCTCTCGAAAAAGGATTGGTGAAGGGCCCTCACACATTTTTCAGCTTCACTATCATCAACTATCAGTGAGATGTTCACCTGTTCAGTTTCCATAAATTACAACTATCAGAAAACTGAAATAATAACCAATACTGCAGAATTATATGTAAGAGTTATAATTAATGAGGAGACCTTGGATGCCCCTTGGGAGATCATCTGGACATTTACTCCATTGGTTCGAAGAACATGAAATACCTGTCGAACTTTGAATTAATATAAAAATGTGATGAATGGGAAAGGGAACTTTTGTTGTGTATAATGATTCAATTCTTGAAACTCTTGGCAAGAAACAGTTTTTGGTAATCATCATGTTGATGGTGTAACAGACAATTCATTTATTTTGTATAAATTGGTAGGAGAAAAATCCAAACCTTCTCCAGTATCAATGAAGAACGTTGAACATTCCCAATAAGAGAGATGATAGATCTATGCTGTAAGAGATTCACAACAGCAATTTTCTCAAGCTCTTCTACTACATGGTCAAGTTCCTGCACAGATGAGAATCTTCTTCAAATGGATTTTAACTCTGAAGAAGAGAAGAGTTCAACAAGAAAGAGTATTTATAATTATGGCAAAAAAACCAAGATTCCAACCATAGTTTTCAAGTGGCATGGTGGATATCTAAACCCTATATAAAACATTGAAAAAAAAATTCTAGGCAGAATTCCAGTATGCCAAGTGCAATTTTTACTGCCCAATATCGGCTTTGGTCCAACTCCCAAAATTAAGGAGTAATAAGCACAAGAGATAATTCTCCTAAGACACATCCACTCATAGCTGCGCTGGAATTTATTCATAAAATCAACTCAACTAGAAAACTCATAAGCAATTATGATTCAAACAACATAAGATGTTTCTCTTGCCTGTTGAATCAATTCCCTACTCCACAGCTTTGATGGGTCCAATGTCAAAGATATACTAACTTCACTCGTAGCAACAACATCCACAGATATACCCAAATCTTCAAAAATGGAGAACACCTGATTGGAGAGAAAATTTATTAAATTGTATTTGCAGCTTACAGTATACAATGGCTCATGCAGAACCATGACATCATCATGTCTCACCTTAGCAAGGAAACCAAATTGACCAAGCATGCGGGTACTAACTATATCCAGCATGGTTACATTCCTCTTCAAAACTATGCTGGTCAGCACGGCCTGTAATTGAATTTTGGGTCAAAAAACATAAGCTTTCTCAAACTATGATATAATCTTCTAAAACTCAGCTGCTAAAAGACCTTGCTCATATCTCTTGCTTTAGTGATGAGAGTTCCAGGAGCTTCAGGATTGTAAGAGTTCTTGACTCGAACAGGAATATCACCCTCTCTTGCTGGTCTCATTGATTGTGGATGTAAGACCTGCAGAAAAATGTATAGGCTAACATTAGCATTTCGGTTCTCTCTGCGGATTCCATGAAAAGTTGGTCACTATAAAATTTTAATTCTCTGCTATTTTAGATCAAGCAATAAACAAATTCACTGCATCTACAATGGCAACTACAATGTTTGTTGCACATATAGTCGATCAAATTATTCAAAAAGTGCTATATTATTATCACATTTGATCAAGAAAAAAAAACCTCTGAGCACATGAAAACTCTTTCTATCTCAGGGTGTGTAACACTTGAGGAAACACATATACAGGCATTAAATTCCTCTAGCAGTGTATAATGTTGTTTGAACAATTCTCAGCTGCCTACAGCTTGATGAAACCAAAGAAATGAAAAACAAGCCACTGATTCCCCAACCCTGTTTTTTCCTCTAATAAAAGCTTTATAATTAAATGTTTTTACAGGGAAACTAGTTTCTTAGGTATCATGAAAGTTAGAAACTGCTTTTAGTTCATCTCTACATCACTAGTAGGTATACCAGCAAGAGGGAAGAAGCATTTAACCTGAGCACCAAAGTAAGCAAGCTCAGCTGCCTCATCAAACGTCAAATATGGTACAGGTTCTGCCCGTGGATAAATAGTAGGATCACAGGTTAAGACACCATCAACATCCTTCCACACCTGTTCAAATTTGGGAATAAGCTGCTAGATATATTGGTTAAACATATAAATAGCAATGAATAATTTTAGAGAATCCAAAAATCGGGCCGCCAACATTAGTGAACTATGGAACATCAGATATAATATCTTGCAGGGTGGTGATGTATTTGCATGACAGCATGTATGAGATAATAAGAATTCTTGATGCAGATGCTTTCAGTTGCAGTGCCTAATCTGACCTGAATCTCTTGCAAGCCTAAAGCTTTACCAATGGTTGTAGCAGTTAAATCGCTTCCACCCCTACCAAAGGTAGTAATTGCACAAGATTTCCAGCCCTGAAGCAAGAACATAAATTGTGTTGGTGACATTGTGCCTATAAGCTTCAATTAGGCAGTTATGATATTTTGATCTAGAACACAAATCCAACAGCTAAAGCAGTAAAACACCATTCCAAGGAAGCCAGTCACGATGGGAATTGCAGGATCATTATCCCAGTCACCGCATAATCTCTTTGCAACGGCTGGGTAAGTTGCTTCCAAGATGTCTGCATTTGTGAAGTCATCAGTGGTAATGAAACCAATTTCAAATGCATCATACTGCAAAAGAGTATTTAGTGACATAGTTAGCTTATAGGAAGTAATCTATACTGGCAACAGATAATAAGTCTAAAATCACAATGTGAAAAGTGGCTAAAGATTCTAGTTGACATACTTGGCGAGCTTTAATGCCAATTTTATTTAGATAAGCAGCAAAGATTCTTGTAGATAAGCGCTCTCCGAATGAGACCAAATAATCCCTTGTGCGAGGAGTTAACTCCTTCATCACTGCTATTCCCTTCAGAAGTTGCTCCAGTTCTTCTAAATGCGCTGCAAAAAGCATCAGCAAGAAGATAGGTTCAAATAGGATAAGAACCGACTGATTCTTCCAAATCTACTGGTATTTTGCTTCACTTTCAATTACTTGGTCAGAAAATAACCTTTAGCTCAAACCCATCAATCAATATGAGAACAAAGAAAATGAAAGTAGTTAAAAGAAAAAAGATCCTCACTAGAAATGATAGAGGGGTCAACTGCAAGTTCATCAACAGTCCTGAACCAAAAAGAAAAAACAGAGCAAATTAAGGTTGATAAGCAATTATAATACCCTAAAAAAAGCGCAAAAAACCAAACCTGACATGCAAATCCTTTATAAAACGCAACTCCTCAATTTCGGTGGCATTCGATACACCGCAGCTTACAGCTTCCTCTCCTGCCTAAATCGAAATGGATAATCGCATAATGAAATTAAAAATTGAAAAAAAAATGAAATAGCGGTGGTGGTGCATTACTAGCAAAAGTTTGTTAGTGGTTTTTCCCATGGCAGAGAGCACAATGACAGGCCTTTCTTCATTGAAACTCTGAATCAAATGGGCGATTTCTTTCATTCTCTCTGCCGATGCCACCGACGATCCCCCGAACTTCATAACGTAAGTGAATGGCTTCACAGTTTCATCGGAATTTTCCTTGTCATCATCCCTCCTTTGCTCTTCAATAACCGCTCTGATTCCTCTTTCGTAACCGACTCTGAAAGCTCTACTATTCCTGCACGCACCGCCTCCGATCGCCGACAACAAATCGAAGGACGCCAAGTATTGGATGCGAGTGGAAGATAGCGAGAGCAAGCGCGTGTTGAAGAATCGCAAGTGGGTTGGAGTTTTAGCGCTGCAGAGTTGCAACGAAGCGGCCATTTTGCCGTTGGAAACTTGGAATAGGAGATTATTTTGGAAAATGATTAATGCATTTAAAAGATTCTGAGAATTCAGTTGTTTTTAAATTGCTTGGGATTGGAAACAAAAGAAGAATTTAGTAGAGTGGAACTGAAGCGAAGGCAGCAGCATGAGGCAGGAGGTGGATTGTCAGGACTCCCAGCAAACAGAGGGTAACTGGGTAGTACTTGACTCCGCTCTTCGACGAATGAGAGAACTCACGTGTGAAGTTCATATAATATTTTATTAAAATTGATTAAATAAATTTTAAAATCCAAAAAACCTTTAATAAAATTTTTAACTTCAAATAAATATCAATTAAATTTTGATTATGAATATTATGTTTGCCTGTATTATTGATTTTTTTCGTTAAATTTTTTCATTTATAAATTTTTATTTTCAAATAACTTAAATTTTATTTGATAAAAGAAAAAATATCAAAAAAATAAAAAATTAATTTAAAATTATAATATTTTATTTGTATTATTTTTTTTATTTAATTCGAGTTAAATTTAGATATTAAACTTATATATTAGATTTAGAACAGATATCAGATTAAAAATTAAAAAAAAATTGAATTGAACTAAATTATATATTTTTATTAATTTATATATTTTTTAAAATTTTTATAAAATAAAAATAATATTTTATATAAAAAATTATTTAAATATATTAAAAATTTATATTAAAATAATATATAAAATTAAAATTTAATAAATCAAATCAATAAAATTCAATTTAAATCAAATAAGATTAGATAATATGAAATGTCAATTTAAATTTAAATTAACTTTTAAAATTTTATAATATTATATATTATTTAAAAAAATAATTAAATTTGATCCGATTTGAATGATTATCATTTTTAGATAAAAACATCATGAATTTTCCTTAATAAATTTTATTTAAGTTTTAAATGTGGTACTTTTTTAATTGTAAATATTGTAATACCTTAATTTAAAAAATTCATGATATGATTTTTGTATTATCCTTTTATATATTAATTTGATACCCGATATTAACACCATTAAATGAGATCGATGATGTGTTTATCATAAATATTTATATTCTTGTCATGTCATTATTTAAAATTAATTTTTATATTTTAAAAATTAAAAGTATAATTTTAATAAATATAATTTTTTAAAAAATAAAAAATAAAATTTATATTTATTTTGCAAAACTCTTAAAATTATACTTTATTTTTAAAAATTTTAAAAATTTAAAATATATATTTTATTATTAAGGAAGAGTAAACTAACTTTGGGATGACAATTATTTTCAACCCGACGATAAAATGGATTCGATAGCAGTGCCGTAACGAAGAAAAAAAAATTTCAGTTGAATTATATATATAATGTCAAATCCATAATATTTTCAGATATGTCTGCTTATTATGAATATAAAAAATTGTCGATAAATTTATTAATTTTATTGATAAAATGGGTATTTAAAGTAAATTTTGGGGATATATATAAAAAAATTTTCCTTCAAAAATTTTTGTTTTCCAATATTTAGAGGTGTGGACACCCTAATTATGCCATTTGGATCCGGTCCTGCATGTATATAGCAACTTTTATTATAAACACGATGTTTTTATTCATTATACTATTAAATAAACATTTTACACTAAATCCAAAAATTATACATATTTATATTATCTTGTTATTTTTTATTAAAAAATTACAATGAGATATTGTCTCATATATATGAAATAATAAGGTTTGATTTGTACGAGTTGAGATTGTTTTGCTACATTTTATTTTTAAAAACAAAAAATAACTATGTGTTTTGATAAAATAATAAATAATAATTTTGAATGAATAAAACTTAATTTATAATAATAAATTATATAATTATATATATTTCAAAATAATATAGAACAATTATAGTTGAATTACTTTTTAATCAACTATACTTATTACTTATGATCATATTCATATTAATAAAAATATAAACTTTTAAAGATTTTTTATGTATTATTTATTACCACTAAAAATATATTTGCACGTTATCAATGGTTAAATTTTTTATTTGCAATAAACAATATTCATGATAAATTTAATAAACTAATAAATATAGTGTTGTTTATAACTTTTTAATAAAACAATGAGTGGTAAATTTTATCAAATAATTTGTGTATAATCTGTGTATTTCATTTTCACACCATATATAACAAATCAATTACGAATGTATTATTTCAAATATATCTTTCCAAACATAATTAAGAAATATTAAATAGATAATTAAAAAAAGCTACAAATAGAAAATGACTCGAGGAAAAGAAAATAAAAAAAAAAAAAAGAACCAAATTAGGATGCCATATGAATACTTCTATTTAAGGATAACAATTGGTCGAGTCAAGGTGGGATTTTCTTACTCTAGCTTTGTCACTACTCTTTAACAATTCAACCTGACTTTGACTCAAATGTGGCATCTACTTATTATTTTATATCCAATCCTAACCTGACACATATGTATACTCGCATCCATCTTGACTTAATCCAAAATGAATTTAATAATTTTAATTTAGTTAACAACATTTATAAAAATATTATTTTTTAATATAAATTATATTAAATTATATATAAATGTATTATTTTTATCTAATTAAGATATTAAATAATAATTTTATTAATATAATATATATCTATAAATATAAAATTAAATAATAATAAAATATATGTTTTTTATATATCCCGAAGGGGATAGTGGCTCAGAATCCCAAACTCACTTTAAACTTGGCTCTTATTTAAAAAAATGATGTTTCTTCCAACCCAAACTTGATCTCGATTTTGAAAAGAAAAATTTGTTCTGTGAATTGAAAGGGTCAGAATCCATTGGATACTGATTATCTTTCTATTTTGATCTCTAGTGATCCATTTTCTTCTAAAATTTATCTAATTAAAAAAAAATAAAAACAAAAAAAAATCGAAAGGCAAAACAAGAAAAGAAAGCTAAATGAATGTGCTATATAGTCACTTTTATTGACCATTTATCTTTCTAAACATAGTTAATAATATTAAAATAAATAATTGAAATAACCAAAAGAAAAAAAACTCAAATAGGGTACCACGTACAAACCTCTATTTAGATATAGCAAAGGTTTGGGTTGTGCGACCTTAAGCTCATCCTGTCATTGATCTGGCTCTTTAGTGATTTTATCCGACTCCAACTCTTGCCTGATATTAGGTTTTTTATGCTCAACTTAACCCCAATACATATATGTGTAACACGCATCTGATCTTATTTGATCTAAAATTAACTCAATAATTTTAATTTAGTATAATGTTCATAAAAATATAATTTTTCAAAATAAATAACATTTTAATTATATATAAATATAGCATTTTTAATTAATGTATTAAAAATAAATTTATTAATATAATGCATATACATAAATAAAAAATTATTTTTATGTATATCCCAAGAGGAGCACCTTAAACTCACCTTTGATTTGACCAAGATTTAAAAAAATAAAAAAACCACCCACCTAATTAAGTTTGGGTTTAAACAAAATTGCCCTTGTTAGATTGAGATGGGTCGAAATGTGTTGGAAATGGATTATTTTGTCATCCTAATCTCCATTGACATATTTCTTATAAAATTTATCTAATTAAAAAATTAAAAAAAAATAAAGGGAATACAAAAGGAAAAAAAAAAAAAAAAGGAAACCAAATAAGGGTGTGGCGTGGATAACTCCATTAGTTTCCTTTCCATACAATTTAATGTATAGATTTAAAATAAACTAAAAACTAAAAAAGCCAAAGAGATGAAAGAATCTGGGTGCTGCTCCATACCTCCATTAATTTCTTTTCTTACAAAATAA